TAGGGTTTAGGGTTTAGGCTTAGGTGGTACATATGGGTGGTTCTCTAAAATTAGGGTCCCTTTGGGGGTCCTTCTTATAAGGGTGACGTACTATCTTGGGGACCTAAGAAGGAACCCTAATTTAGAGAAGTACCCGTATGAAGTCGGGCTTAGATCAGGAGTTGTCAATTAGGGCTCTCGGCGGCTTTACGAAGGGCTTGGTGTCGCGGTTGTTTGGACAGAGGTCAATAATCGAGTAGCATGACGCTTTGTATTCGAGTGTTGGAGCCTAAACCCTAAACCCTAAACCCTAAAACCCTAAACCCTTGTTTTATTTGAGGAGCCTTGAGCAAGGAAGCCCCTTGAAAGGAACGCCATCCATGTTTTAATTTTCGAGGGGGTTTAGGGTTTAGGGTTTAGGGTTGCGCATCAAGGGCCACCGCCCTACACAAAACCCCAAAACCTGAAACACGCAACCCGAAACCCTAAACCTTAGGCGCAAGGCACTCAACCCTAATGCCAGGAAGGTGGGGCCGAGTTTGCGCAATCAGGAGCCCACTGCCCTTGCACCCCAGGACAGCCCAAACCCTGAGCGATGAACCCCAAAGTGTCCCTAAACCCTAAGCCCTAAACCCTAAACTTCAAGCCCTAAACCCTGAACCCCAAACCCCTAAACCCTAAAACCCTCAACCCTAAAGATTGAGAAGTTTAGGGTTTTGGTGTATACCAGCCCAAACTAAACCCGGAGCCCTCATCCCTAAGCCCCAAACCCAAGAAATGCAGTGCTAGCCAGGTGTAGCATTGCGGGTTTTGTGTTTAGGGGTTTAGGGTTTAGGGTTTAAGGTTTAGGATTTAGGGTTTAGGGTGTAGGGTTTAGGGGTTTAGGGTTTAAGATGTTTTAGGATTAGGGACTATGGATTATGGATTAGGGCTTTGGGGATTGGGGTTAGCGCAGAGTTTAGATTAGAGGGCTCAGGGTTTAGAGGCGAGGGGTGTGTGCGTGCGCTCACATTTTTCTTTTTTTTTGTGTGTGTGGGTGTGTGTGGGTGTGTGTGTGTGTGTGTGTGTCTGTGTGTGTGCGATGTCGCCCACAAGCGTGCCCCTTAACCCTAGAACCCAGACCCTCGACTGATTGAAAGGCCGTTGCACCTCAAGCAAAACCCTCGACTCCCCTAAACCCTAAACCCTAATCCGATTCCCTAGATGCCCAGAAAGAAATCTAGAAAGTAAAGCCCCTAATCTAAGACCCTCTACTACGGAATGGGACTTTAGATGATCTTAAGGGTCTACTTTTTGGATCCTCCGGGGCACCTCTGAGTCGTTTACAGGCTGACGAAACCCTAAACCCTGAACCCCAAACCCTAAATCCCAAATCCTAAAACCCAAAACCCCAAAATCCTAAACCCTAAACCCCTAAACCCCTAAACCCTTAAACCCTAAAGCCCTAAACCCCTAAAGCCCTAAACCCCTAAAGCCCCAAACCCTAAACACATGGCAGGAGTCCGGCTTCTCGATGATTGGTGCCCACACGGATTCGCCCCAAACTCAGCAGGTCGTACAGTGTTCTGCAAGGTTTCTGTCGGGTTTCTGGAAGGGTTTAAGGGTTTAGGGTTCAGGGTTTAGGGTTTAGGGTTCAGGGTTTAGGGTTTAGGGTTCAAGTCAATATATGTTTTGGGTTCATGATTGCAAAGGGTTTGTATAGGGGTTCTCGCAGGCTGAGGATGCTAAGAGGTTTATTAAGGTTTCGATAGTAGTTCACTGACCTTCTAAGAGGAGTCGTGCCTAGAAAGGGTTTAGGGTTTAGGGTTGAGTTATGGACAATCAAAGGGCGAACCCTAAATGCAAAAGTTAAAGTCGAGACTTAAACCATCACAGAGCCCCATATGTCGTGGCACGGTGTATGCCCTGGACATCCCTAAACCATCGATGCATTTTTGAGACCCTTGAAACCCACCCATATAGAAGCCCTTGCAAGGCCCTCATACAAAACCGTTCAAACTGCTGAAACCCTGGAGTATAGAAGCCCTGAGACCTAAGATGACAACCTTCAATCGGAGACCGTAAGCCCAACTACCCGAAAGCCCTAAACCCTAAAACGTACCCTACACCCTGAAACCCTGAACCCCCAAAAAACCCTAAATCCTAAACTTCAGCCCTTGAGGCTAGGGGTTTGTACCTGAACCCTCAAAGCCAAGAAGGCCATGCCTGCGACTGCGTCCGAACTCCAAGATGTCCTCGGCAGGGATGCTACAGGCGGGACCTAAACCCTAAACCCTAAACCCTAAACCCTAAGCCCTAAACCCTAAACCCTAAGCCCTAAACCCTAAACCCTAAACCCTAAACTATCACATAAACCCTAAACCCTACACGGTTCTGGAGAGGCCTTTGGGCCGAGTTTAGGGGCCTTACTAATTAAAATAGGGTTGTATGGGGGGTTCCTTTAAGGGGCTCCTTAAAGGGTTCTATAAGGGCTACTATAAGGGTTTAGGGTTTAGGGGCCTTAAGAATTAGAATAGGGTTTTGCGGGGTATACTCTACTAAAACTAGAAAAAGGACCCCCCCCCAAAAAAAAAGAGCATTGGTAATTAAGTTTAAGCCCCTATATTAGGGGCTTACGGGTCGAGTAGTTTAAGGTGACAGGTTAAAGCCTAATGGCTTTAGGGCTTAGTGGAATGGTCTAGTTACAGCTTCAATGAATTTGAGAGGCAACCTGTGACCCCAAACCCTACAACATCGTAGGTTATGATCCCTTAATTAGAGGGTAGAACCCAGAAAACGGTAGGGTTTTGGTATCTCCATCAACTTCTTGTTACATCGTTTATTGTAGAGATGGAGCTCAGGGCTTCGGGTGTTGTGGGGTGCAGAACTGCAATGATACCTTTACACAATCCTTCGAAGCCGTGGCAAAACCCTTATAGAGACCAGAATGGCAAGAGCAATCCTTACAAGACCACATGAAGCCTCGAAGGTAAAGTGCTAAAACCCTAAACCCTAAACCCTCAACCCTAAACCCTAAACCCCTAAACCCTAACCCCGAAGGCATCTCTACGGCATCTAAGCCGGCTTATCTTCAAGGCTTTCTGAACGAGCCTCACGAGCCTTTGGGAAGGAGCTTGTAGGGGTCCATGGGGTTTAGTATTTTTTAAAGGAGTCTTCAGGGATCTGAGCACGGTCGTGAGCTCGGTAACTAGCATTTAGTGGTATACCCTTATGAGCTCACAGTTGGGCTTAAGGTTTAGGAGTTTAGGGTTTAGGGCTTCGCTTCCTACGTTTATTATACTTTTATCTACCCATGAACCTTGCTGTATGGTCTCCTTAAACCAATTTAGGTCCCTTTAAAACCGTGACAAGATGCTCTACAAATAATGAAAACCACTGAGAACACACCGAAGAGGTTGGCATCCAGACCTACGGAGGAGGGCGGCTGCCTCGGTGAAGTTTAGGGAGTGGGGTTATGATGACGATGATGGTGATTTCGATGGTTATTCTGTTGTTGATGTCGGTGATGATGGTGATGTTGATGATGCGGCTTCTGATGTTGTTGTTTATGATGGTGATGTTCATGATGAAGCTGGTGATGGAGTATCAGTTGTAGGGTGCGGGGTTCGTGGGCTGGCCTTGCATGCCAAGGTTTGACTGCAAGGTCTGGTGTGCGTGCCTTTACATGGCCTCTGGCCTACCCTAAACCCTAAACCCTAAACCCTAAACCCTAAACCCTAAACCCTAAACCCTAAACCGCAGGACCTCCGGGTTGGCTGACCCTACACTCGCAATTCAGGGACAGGCTTCGACAAGGCCTGGAGGACGACGTTGTCCTCAACGCTCTCGATAGGGATAGCGGGAAGAAGCTGGTTGGATGCGAGCACTGCCGGCCTCACTGCAACAAGAAGCTAATATATGGGCCTTCAGAATTACCTATACTGTTTTGGGGGTTCCTTATTATAATCATTGTATAAAATACCCCAGAACCCTTTTCTAATTATTAAGGCCCCTACATTAGCTATCCGGGCAGGAAGCACTGAAGGCAACCGGAAGACGACCTTTTGCCAAAGGATGAGAACACGGCTTTTGGGTTTAGGGCCCTAAACCCTAAACCCTTCTTGGACCGCCCTGAGGTACGTGGCACATTTGCCCAACTTGTTCAGCCCTCCACCCTAAACCCTAAACCCATCCACGCCGACGAGCTCCAGGAGGAACAGGGAACCCCGCCGAGCGGTGGCTGAAGGTGCGGTGGCGGCGCCCGAACGGGACGGCAAGGATGCCGGTTCAACCGAATCCGCAGCAATGGACTTTGTGTGCTCGGAGATCGTTGTTAAACTTGAAATTCATCAACGTAGCAGGCGATATGGTTACACCACCCTAAACCCAAAGCCCTAAACCCTAATCCCTAAAACCTAAACCCTAAACCCTAAACCCTAAACCCTAAACTGTACAGGAGAGTTCAGAATCTTCTCGACCTGACTCGCTGTTAACCCCAAACCGCCAAACTCTCGAGTTCGGGAGCTTTAGGGGGTTTAGGGTTTAGGGCTTAAGGTTTATGGTTTAGGGTTTA